AAAAAAAAAAAAAAAAAAAAAAGAGTCATAGGAAGTCTCCCAGTCCACCGAGTCCATAGGTGAGTGTGGGGACAGGCACTGAGTGACTTCTGGCCCAGAGACCCAGGCTGCCCTCAACCCCAGTTAACACCCCATTCTTCATTCCTAGGGGTCTCCCCATCTCAGTGTTTCCTTTGCATTAGATTTATTCTGTGATTTGTTGTCTAAAGCCTTGACTGGTTTATATTCATCCATTCTTCTTTCTAATACGATCATTAAAGCTATAAATCTGCTGCTTCCCACAAATTTTGATATGCAATACTTTTATTTATCATTCAGTCCTTAGTATTTTTAAATTTCCATTATGATTCTTTCCATTATGATTTAATTTTCATCATGAATTATTTAAAGGAGGGGTTGTGTTTTAACTTCTCTACGTGTGGGTATCACGTCAATGTGCTTATTGAATTGTGATTTTCTTACATCGTGGTTGGGAACGTGACTGTGTGACACCAAATCCTTTTCATGGTACATAACTGCTGAAATATCACACTTTTAATGGGCGAATCTGTCCATTTCTCCCTGTAGTCCTACCAATTTTTATACTAAGTATTATGAAGCTATTTTATTAGAAATATTCAGGTTTAGAATTGTTATATTTGTTATAAAAAACTTTTTATTATTTTGTAGCAACCCACTCTGTCTAATAATGATTTTAGTATTGATACCTCTCTTGAAGGATATTAGTAAATCTGTACTACTTTTCTTGGGGGTAATATTTCTCGGTAAATCTCTTTTCATCTTTTGCTTTCAACTTTTCTATGAGCTTTTGGTGTGTCTCTTGTAAACAGCATATAATATACTTTTAAATTCTAATCTGAATTTAAGCATTTGCATTTATTATGATTATTGATATATTTGGCACTATTAATATTATCTTACTTTTAAATTACTGTCTTTCCTTTTCTATGCTTCCTACCTTTTTTGGATTATTTGACTTTGTAGGGGTTTTTTTCCTTACTTCATTTTTCTCTTTCTGCTTGTTTGGAATTTATAAACCTGTTTCTATTCTCGAGTGGTTCCTCTTAGTATTTTATCACGTTGCATTTTCCTTATCATGCAATTCACAATATTTTCTAATTTCCATTATGATTTCTTGTTTGAGCAGTTGATTATTTAGAAGAATATTTTAAAAATCAAGACACGTGGGGATTTTCTGGTTACCCTTTTGTCGCGATTTCCAGCATAATCACATTGTGGTCAATGTACTCTGTGCATTATAACTGTGAAATTTGTTGAGACTTGCTTCAGAGTTCAGTATCTGGTTAATTTTTGTAAAGGCTGTGGGAAGTTTTTTATTGAGGTCTAATATTTTATTGAGGTGTACACAGCTCAGTGTGCAGGTGTCAAGTGTCCACTTCGATGAGTGTTGGCAGATGCACGCACCCAGGTAACCCCCCACTCCTGTCACGTCAGAGAATATTCCGTCACCTCGGGTAGTTCTCTCACATCTCCGTCTATCTCCACATCGGCCCCTATTTTCCCATCCCAGCAACTAGCCAGCATTGATTAGTTTTGCCTGTCCTAGAATTTCATATATAAATGGAATCATACCGTATGCACTCGTGCGTCGCTGAACGATGGGGATACGTTCTGAGAAATTCGTCGTTAGGCGATTTCGTCGTTGTGCGAACATCACAGAGTGTGCTTACACAAACCTAAGTGGTATAGCCTACTGCACACCTAGGCTCTATGTGCTAATCTTATGGGACCACCATCGTGATGTGGTGCATGACTGTATAATATCTTACGTCTGGTTTCTTTCACTCAGCATGATTGTGAGATGCACCTGTGTTGCTATGTACATCAATAGCTCATTTCTTCTCATTACTGAGTAGCATTCCGTTGTATGGATATGTCATAGGTTTGTCCACTCTCCCCTTCATGGACATTTGGGTTGTTTCCAGTTTGGCTATTGTGAATAAAGCTACTATGAACATTCTTGGCAAGTCTATTTTTTTTCACTGCTCTTGTATAAATACCCAGGAGTGGACTTGCTGATCATGGGGTAGACATATGTTTGTCTTTCTAAGAAACCGCCAGACTATTTTCCAAAGCGGTTGTACCATTTTATACTCCCCCCAGCGCTGTATGAGAGCTGCGGCTGCTCTACATGTTAACCAACACTCGGCGCTGTCATAGTTTTAAGTTTATAGTAACTTTATTTGTAATAACCAAAAACTGTAAACATTCTTTTTAATTTTAGCCACTCTGGTAGATATGTGTGTTTTGAAAAAATTATATATTCTTCATACACTGGGTACAGTGTTCTATATGTGACCCTTAAGTAAATTTTGTCAATCCTATTGTTCAAATCATCTATGCCCTTATTCATTTTTATCTTGTTTGTTCTGTCATTTGCTCAGAGGCAACTTAAAATTCTCTTCTATGAATAGGGATTTGTCTATTTCACTTTTAGTTACTTTGTCCCTTACTTTATATATTGTGAAGATATGTTAAGAGATACATAAAAATGTGACTATTTCCTTACGAATAGATTCACAAATAATATATTTATGAAAAAATTCTTGAATATTAGTTCTTATCAGTATATTCTTATGAATTTAATTTATTAGTGAAGAGTATAATAACAATACCCCATATTCCTGGGCCCCCAGTCTCCTCGCACCTCTGCCCCTTGGTCTCCCCATTTCTTGCCCACAGCAGCTCTCTTCATGATTCTTCTCACCATTCTCCAGCTGCAGCAGCAGGGTCCTGAGGCAGATACGAATTAAAAATTCTTAAAATGCATTGAAGAAGACAAAACCAAAGTAGGTCAACTAAAGCTAACTAAAGTAGTAAGAAAAATCCCATTTGATTGCCGTTTGCTGACTTGACTTTTCAGAAATTGGACAACACCCACAGAGTCCGCTTCTCTTCTCCTCCCAGGTATGTCTCCTTCCTTTGGGACCCTGTGGCCCTCCTGATCAAGACTCCCATTACCCAGATGGGGAAACGGAGGCCCAAGGAGGAAAAGCTATTTTCTGGAATCTTTTTAATGGGAACAGAAGCAAAGAGGACAATTTGAACAGAACCCATGCTTCTCTTAGACTTTATTTCTGAGCTTAGGGGAAGGAAGAAAAAAGATGAAAAACCAACTTTCTCCACCACTGTTAAGGCTGGGTCAACATTGTGCCACCAGGGGGCACTGTGTACAGGAGAAGATTCTTGGTGGGATTGGACTCCTGGGGCTGAGCAAGGAGGTGGTTGAGGGTCTAGACTCCAAGGTCTGATGGAGGAGGGGCTGGGAGGGTCTAGCCTCTCAGGTTTGATAGAGAAAGGCACTAGAAACCCAGATTCCTGAATTCTTTCAGCAGCATTTGGGGGTTCCATTTCACAGGTCCCAGTCCCGGGAGTTAACTGGCCTGGATGGTTTTCTGTATCCACTCAGTGAACTTGCAGAGGTTGGTGTAGACGCTTGGAATGTAGGGTTGGCCACACTGGGCATGTCCAAAAGACACGAGGCCCTGCAGGTACCCGTTGCAGACCACGGGGCCCCCAGAGTCACCCTGTTGTTGGAGAGAGAATCCAAAACATGAGATGCGGAGAGAGATGTGAGATCAGAAAGGAACCAGATGAGACAGAGAGACAAAGACAGGAAAAAAAAAAAAAAGACAGCAATACACCCCTTAGAGGTTCCATTCCAGAGCCCTGACCACACCTACTTCTGCTTCCCTATGTCCTAACAGCTGGCCAATTCTCTTGGATTTGCTGTTGTTCTGTCTCTGTCTGTGTCTCTCCTTCTTTGTCTGCCCCCATGGATTGTTTCTCTGTCTCATTGACTTCCAGAGTCTCTGCATCTCTCTGCATCTCTTTGTATAACCTGATTTTTTTTTTTTCCTGTTTCTCTTTGTGTTTCATCTCTGTGAATCTGTCTGTCTCTCTGGGTGTATTTTTCCGTGTGTGTGTGTTCCTGCCTCCTTGTGTCTCTCTGTCTCTCTATTTCTGTTTCTCTTTTTCTTTGCTTCTCTTTATTCCTGTGTCTCTTTCTGTTTCTCCCAATCTCTCTCTCTCATTGTCACTATCTCCCTGTGTCTCTGTTTCTCACCATGTGTCCCTCTGTGCCTCTGTCGCCCTCCCTTCTCCATCTCTCCCTGGATCTCCCCCCGTCCCCATTGCTCACTTTGCAGGAGTCCTTCTGGTCGTGTCCTCCGCCAGCGCAGAACATGCTGGGGTGATATATGAAGTCATAGAGGGCACTGCAGCTCTCCTCAGACACCACTGAGATATTCACACACTGGAGCACGTTGGGCTGCCTGCCTGGGATGCAGAGCTCTGGGTCAGCCCCTCTGGCTGGGTGGAGAACCCCTCAGAGAGGGCAGACACACTCACCCTCATGAGCTCACCATTCTTCAGCTGCCCCCAGCCGGAGACGAGGCAAGAATCTCCAGCAGTGGGGCACTGGGAGGCGATGCTGATGTTCCGGATGGTGGCAGACGGCGACACCGATTCTTTCAACTTGATGAGCATGAGGTCGTTGGCGTAAAAGGGTTTGTTGTAGTCTGGGTGCTGTATGGAGAGGCTGGTCTCCATCATGCAGGCGCCTGGTTCTTGGTCGTCGTCAAGACTGTGCAGGCCCAGCCCGACGGTGTAGGAGCTGAGGGCCACGGGGACAGGTTGGTTTTGTAGCAACAACACCCTTATCTCCATTCTCGCCCTCCGGACACCCCATCCTCCTCGCTAAGAGGTCCTCACCATGATCTAAATCCTCATCACCATCAATAATGGGACGAGAACCTGCCTTCATTCGCTAGTGACTGGGCAGCTGAGCTGAGATCTCAACCCAGGACTCGCTGAGCTCTCCAAAGCACCAGCTCCCGCCTCCCTCGCAGAGCCTTCCTTCTCAGCGGTTTCCCGTCAGCAATGGAGGCTGAGCCTGATACGAGGGCCCTGCCCTGGGCTAACCTTACATCCAGTTCCCCGCCAGGACCCAGGCCCCGCCCCCGCCCCACCCCGCCCGGCACTCACTTCTGGAAACAGTGTGCGGCTGACAGCACCCATTGTGGATGCACCAGGACGCCCCCACAGAAAAATCCGTTTTCCGTGAACAGTGCCGCCTGCCACGGCTGCGAGTAGGGGCTGCAGTCCTCGCCGGCTATGATCCGGCTGCTGCCAACCGAGGCCAGGCATCCTGGGGGCGGAGTCAGGGCTGGGGGGCGGGCTCAGGGTGGAACCAGGGCCTCTGGGGGCGGGGATACGGTTCAGGGGCGTGGTCAGGATCCCTGGGGGCGTGTCCAATGGGCAGGGGTGTGGTCATGGCTGGGGGCGGGCTCAGGGCAGAACCAGGGCGTCTAGGGGCGGGGTTACGGTGCAGGGACGTGGTCAGGATGCCTGGCGGGAGTGGCCACGGTGTAGGGGTGTGGTCATGGATTCGTGGACAGAGTCAGGGCGGGGGGGCCGGCTCAGGGTGGAACTAGAGTCTCTGGGGGCGAGGTTACGGTGCATGGGCGTGATCAGGGCTGGGGGGCGGGCTCAGGCTGGAACCAGGGCTCCTGTGGGCGGTGTCTTGGTGCAGGAGGGCGTGGTCAGGGCCAGGGGGCAGGCCCAGGAGGCGGGACCTAAGCTCCTGGGGGCGGGGTCACAGTGCAGGGGTCGTAGCCAGTGCTTCAGAGGCGGGATTATGATGCTGAGGTGTGGCGAGGGTCTCACGGGTGGAGTCTGGGATCCGGAGGGCAGAGTCAGGGCTCTTAGGTGTGGAGTCAGGAGTGGGGAGGCGTGCTCAGGAGAGGGGACTAGGTCTCCTTGGGGCGGGGTCACCGTGCAGGGCTTTTATCCGGCGGGTTAGATTCTTTGGAGTGGGTTAGGACACAGGAGGCAGAGACCAGGATACAGGAGATGGAGTCACTCGTCAGGAGGAGAATTAGCTTTGAGTGCATCACACCCACCTCCGGGACCCACGTGCTATCTCCCTCTCTCTCTCTCTCACACAAACACACACACACACACACACACACACACACAAGCAGCAAGCCAGGCTCCTGCACTTCTGGAGCCACAGTCCCCCAGCACAACAGACCCCCTCCTACAGGGTGGCAGAGGCAAGGGCAACACAGCCAGTTGCTCAGGGAGGCAGTGTTGCTCTCTGTGACCCTCCAAGTCCCCCATTCCCTGGCTCAGCCTCCTCCACAGTCACACCCGCTACAAGCCGGCTCACACAGAGACCCCATCACATCGTCCCGGGATGTGATCCCTGGGGGTCCGGGGATCAACGACCCAGGAAGCAGCACAGATTCCTAGCAATGGGCGACTCCCCCAAGAGCACCATCTCCCTTTTCGCAGCACCCTGGGCTCCCACGTCCTCACAGCATCCTCAGGCCAGTGGTCACTCAGCTGGATAATCAGAGGCACAGACTGTCAGCGTCATTCACCTAATAATGCACCGACTCTCCCAGGTATGACCACACACCCCATCACGCTGTGTCACACACAGACGTGTAAAGCCACACACAGACACAGAGTACACAGGTGGCACACACACAAACTCCCTGTGATACAAGGAATCACACGTGTGCAACCAGAGAGCAACGGTCACACAGTGCTGTCCCACATGCAGCTTTAGTCACACCCAGGAGGACACTAAGTCATGTCTGCACGGTGACAAACACTGTGCCCTGGGGCACAGACAGTCACACACACACTCAGATACCTGTGACGCTGAGGAGGAGGCTCCCCAGGAACCAGCCCTGGGGGGGTCCTGCTGCGACTGTCATGTCAGCACCTGGGCACGAGGGTCGTCTCAGGTGAGTGTGGGGTCCCACAGCCCGAGTCTCTTCATCTGTCTCTTCCTCCCTCCCTCCCTGTCCCCCTGGGATATTCTTGGGCTGATGAGGACCTATACCCCCCACCCCAACACACACATGTCATAGGGTCTGAGATCCTGCCCAGAGACCCAGAATCTAGAGAGATTTAGAGACTGAGAGAGAAAAAGAGAGAGGGAGGGAAGTGGAGAGAGAGAGAGAACCAGGTGGAGAGGAAGGGACAGAGGTGTCTCTCCATCTACAAATGGGGAGAGGTAGGAGGATGGAGACAGGGCCCCTCAGGGATGGAGGGAAGACGGAGACAGAGCACTTGAGAGAGATCTTCAGAGACAGGCTGAGAGTCCAAGTCATGGAGAGAGATTCAGAGACACAGAGACTAGGGGAGACACAGAGAAGTGGAGAGACACTCCTAATCATAGAGAGGGGGAGATACCTCTTTGGAGAGGAGACAGGGAGACACAGGGTCCAGAGACAGAGAATCACAGGGACATGGAGCTGTGGGGAGAGTGGAACACAAAGACTGCCTGGCTCTCGGGGGCAGTGGGAGTGGACCACCGGGAGGCTCACCTGGCCGCCTCTGGGCTCCTGAATGCTGCGCTGGGCTGAGCTCCTGCCTGCTGCCTCCTCCAGGGGCCCCCGTGGGGCTTATAAGCATCCCCAGCTGGGCCGGCCTGCCCCCAGGGACGCATTCCTGGGATCAGGTGCTGTGAGCTTCCAGCTCAGTGCTCTCAGGCTGCCCTGGTGCCGGGCTGCGGTCAGGGGCCAGAGGGGCTGGGAGAAGGGACCCAGCAAGGAGACCCTGGGCTCACTCCCCTTCTTTCTTGGTTCTCTCTCAGCTCCCTCCCCCCATCTTTCTCCTCTCTCTCTCCTCCCCATTTTTCTCCTCTCTCTCTCTCTCTCTCTCTCCCTCTCTCTCTTTCCCTATCTTTCTCCTCTGTCTCTCTCTATTCCTCTGTCTCTCTTTCTGCTTCTGTCTCTCTTCTGTCTCTCTCATTTTCTCTCTCTCATTTTCTCTCTCTCGTTCCCCCTCCCCTCCTCTGTCTCTTCCTACCATGCTTCCCCAGCAAACCTTCCCAGGTTCAACTCCAGGCTGCATCGTCTTCTACCTCTGGAACCTCGGGCAGGTGACTGCACCCCTGGGAGCCTCCGTTCCCCCTTACGTAAGGTCTGGATAACTGTTGTTCCTCACTCCCAAAATATATCCAAAGAGAGAATGCAGGGAAGGAGCCTTGACCCCGTGTCAGGCGTGGAGTGAGCGCCCAGCACGTGGAGCACGACGAAGCCTGCGCTCAGCAGAGAGCAGTTGTGCACCCGCCGTGCTCCACGGGCTGCTGTCCACACTCGAGACACAGGAAGGAACGAGCAAGCTGTGGTGCTCATGGGTCTCACGTCCTAGTGGGGGAGACAGACAAACACAACAACTACAGGACGGCCGGCCTGGTGGCGCAGCAGTTAAGTGCACGCGCTCCATTTCAGTGGCCCGGGGTTTGCAGGGTCGGATCCCGGGAATGCACTGATGCACCGTTTATCAAGCCATGCTGTGGCGGCGTCCCATATAGAGTGGAGGAAGATGGGCATGGATGTTAGCCCAGGGCCAATCTTCCTCAGCAAAACAGAGGAGGGCTGGCAGCTGTTAGCTCAGGGCTGATCTTCCTCACAGAAACAAACAAACAAAAAGAACAACTACAGGGACAAGCAAATATCTGGTAGTCATGTGTGTGCAGAGAACACGGGGGATGTTAGGGAGGGATGGGGACCCAGGTGGGGTGGCTGTGGACAAGGTGGGGGGCCAGGAGTCTCAGAGGAGGGGCATTCAGGCTGAGAGCCGTCGTGGCTCGTGAGCCTTGCAGGAAACAAAGAGAACTCGGTGTGTGTGAGGCAGAGCGAGGAGAGGGGACGGGGAAGAGCGTGCAGGGGTTTACACACCAGGGTAAGGGGTTTGGGTTTGTTTTAAGTGCAATGGATTTTAGGCACGGGGGTGGAGGGAGGGGCAGGATCTTATTTGCTTTTAAACAACATCCCAAGTGGAGAAGGATTGTAGGGGGTGAGGTGGAAGCGGGGGGTCCAGCGGGGGGTGGGAGGCGGCCCCATCCAGGTGGGAGATGCTGTGTCCAGGGAGAGGAGAAATGACCGGGCCAGGGCTCGGCTTGGAGGCGGAGTCAGTGTACTGACCGACCCATGGGGGGAAAGCAGGCGGGGGGGAGGGAGACAAGGGTGGTGTGAGGCTTGGTCTGTTGGCGCCCCGTTTGTGGAGACGGAGAAGGAGGTGTGGGGAAGGGCTGCACTGGGGACGTCCGTCAGGAGCCGGGCGGGTGGACGCGTGAGCACGGAGGTGCAGGCAGAGGTCAGCGCTGGTGAGAAACGGCGGGAGTTGTCGGGGGAGGTGGTGTTTAGAGCCCTGGGGCTGGGTGAGGTCACCTGAGGAGCAGGTGTGGACGGCGCTGATGAGGGGTTGTGTGGACAGATGATGGGACGAGGGGTTGTGTGGACAGATGACGTGAGGCTGAAGTGTGAGTGTCTGTGCCTCTCTCCGTCTCCCTGGCCTCATCTGTCTCTCTGACCCTGTCTCTCTCTCTCTCTGATTTCTCCGTCTCTGGCTCTTAATGTCTCTCTGGTTCTCTAACTCTGACTCCAACTACCTGCCTGTGTTCAGTCTCCTGGTGGCACACAGACCCCTCTGCCCCTGCCCTGCTCCTGGGACCAGCAGCTCTGACCACGAGGACACAGGAGGCCAGGAGGAGGGTGGGGGTGCAGGGGGGCTCAGGTCCCACAGCCGCCCAGACGTGACTAAGGTCTGGGCGGTGGGAAGAGGCGGGTTGGGGCTGGTGCAGGGGGACAGGGCTGGGCAGCTGAGAGGAAGGAGAAGGGAGTGGACGTGGCAGCCCTCTGTCCCCGTTCTGTGGCCTCTCCTGTGTCCTGTCCTGCCTGAGGTCAGGCAGAGGGGACCCATTATTTGGGGATGGGTCCAGGACAGAGTTGTGGGGGTGTCACCTGTGGAGAAGCTTCCAACCTGGCAGGTGGGAATGGTTTGGAGTGTGAGCCCAGGAATGGGACTCCAGGGTCAGAACCCAGGCTGGGGTGGAGGATGGAGAGAGGCAGAGATGAAGAGAGACAGAGATGAGCAAAGAGACTGGGACCAGAGACAGAGAAACAAAGTCACAGAAAGGTATAGATAGATACAGAGAAAGATGGAGGCAGAGACAGAGACAGAGATGAACAGAGACACAGAGAGAGAGAACAGGGAGAAGAGATAAAGACAGAGAGAGACAAGAGACAAAGAGAGACAGAGACACAGAAAGACAGGCATACAGAGAGACAAAGAGAGACACAGAGAGACAAGACAGAGAGACAGAGACAAGAGACAGAGACACCAAGAGACAAGAGACAAAAAGAGACAGAGACTCAGAGAAACAGATACAGAGAGAGATGGAGACAGATACACAGAGACACAGAGAGGAGTAGAGACACAGAGGTTGACAGGAAGAAGAGATAGAGATGGAGAGATAATAGAGACGGAGACTCAAAATGAGACAGAGACTGATCAGGACACAGAGGGAGACAGAGATAGAGACACAGGATAGAGAAGGACAGAGGATGGGCACAGACAGAGGCAGAGACAAAATGGCACAGATAAAGAGAGATTATCAAGCATCTTGGAAGTCATTTAAAAAAATAGAGACAACAGACAGTTTTAATTTCCCCCAACTTGACCCAAGGCCAGCCCCCAGATCCCCCTCTTAATAAGTAGCAGCCCATTCTCAGGTCCCCTGTGATTCCTCTCTCAGCCACTCGAGCCCACCTGTGGGCCCTTTGGGCAGCAGCTCCAGCACAGAATTCAGACCTAGCCGGGTCTCCCCTCCACCCCCTCTCCCGGTGCAGCCTCTCTACTTCCACTTTCTCCACCTCAGTCTGTTTCCCAGGGGGATGTGGCTCCTGGGAATGGCTCCAGCCCCCTCCCTGGCCTCCCTCCTCGTCCAGGCCACTCTGTGGTCTGTTCCATGCTCCTCCAACACTCTTCCCCTCACTCTCTCCCTCCACGACTCCCACCTCTCATTTTAGCTCAGCTCCAATGTCACTGCTTCAGTGACATTCAGGGCTCCCACTCTCCTGGGGGTGTTTATGCTTGTCTTCTTCTCATAGCATCCTTCACGTGTCTTCAGAGCCCTTGGTACAAATTACACACGTGTCATTGTTTGTGTTTTTATCTTTCTAACATGTGCGGCTCTCACTGGGCTGGGAGCTCCTTGGGGACAGGGCTGGGTCTGTTCTGTTCACCGCTGAAAACACAGTGCCTCTCGTGGAGTGGGCGTCCAGTGTGTATGTGCTGAATGGACGAGTAAAGAGAGACAGAAAGACCGACACAGAGACAGGGAGACAGACAGACAGATGGACAGAGAGCAGGAGATGAAGATGTGGAGAGAGAAGAATCATAACAAACAATAATAATAGCTTATGATTAATAACAGCTCCCTCTCCACTGGGACAAGGGCGGGGAACTTATTTAACGTGGTTAACGGATTAATTGTGTTGAATTAATGATAATTGTGTCGAGAGCTGACTGTGGCCCTATTTTCAGAACTTTATAGGTAATGACTTATTTATTCATCACAGCAACACTGTGAAGTAGATGCTTTTATTAGCTTTACTTTACAGATGAGGAAACTGAGGCACAGAGAGGTTAAGTAGTTTACACCAGGTCACAGAAAGACTAGGGCTGGAAGAGACGGAGACAGACAGACAGACAGAGGTGGACAGATATAGAGCAGGAGAGAGTTGGAAACACAGTGAAAGGGGCGGCCAGAAAGATTCGTACTCTCTGAAAGAGACACATCTCAGGAGCTAGGGATCATAACAATTTAAAAAATAATAAAAGATCTAGTAGTTATGAATCACCCGCTTTTCTCTAGGTGCCGTCATAACTACTGTATGCACGCTGACTAGTTTTAATCTTT